TGCCATCAGGATGGACACTTGAGGGCCAACTGTCCACAGCTTGTTGCAGGACCGGTGCAGGCTCCAGCACCGGCCACTTTGAGGATTACGGGTGGAGGTCAGGGTGGAGCGGAGCCCCCGAGGGCTCACGGACGCGCATTCCAGCTTACAGCAGAGGAGTTCAGGGCAGAGCCAGATGCAGCTGCGGGTATGTTTCCATCATGTTACCTTGTTATTTGTGTGGTATTGTAAATCTGTCTGCATTGTTTCGCATGTTCGTAGTATGATTGAGGATCTTAGTAGTTAGGAATTGTAGTTAGCGTTCAGGAGGATTGCGGTCGGAAGACAAGTTATGTGATCTCGCTGCTAGGAATAGTAACGGCGATGTAAGGAGGATTCAGTTGAGATTCGAACTTCCTTGGAGTTCGGGTGTGCGATGACGGAAGGGTTATTCAGTGAAGGTTACTTACTCCCGAGGGAGTTAGTTCATGGATAAGAGGGAATGAATGGAGTAAGGGCGATTGAGCTATGCCGGTTTTGAGCATCGGTGGTTAGTAGTCAATGCACTAAGTGGGGGGAGAATTGGAAAATTCTCCGGTGGAACAAAATGCATCCAAGGATGGTTAGCTGTTGGACTTCAGCGTTGTGTTAGCCGAGAGTGTGGAAATAGACACGTAGGGCAGGGAACAGGCCATGATTTCCAGAGAAAGTGATTGATTGTTGAGAGGCCTGGGATCAGGCCGGGGTAAAAGATTCATAGAACGGATGTGGAGTTCGGAACCCCTAGAGGGCTAGAACAGACTGCATGGGAGGGACTCCCGGAAAGGATGGTTCAGGGTGATGTGCGACAGCATTTGAGCGGTCCGGATAGACTGAAGGCCGGAAGGCGTACCAGTCAGGCCGAACGCTCGGGGAACGGTCCAGACAGGCTGAAGGCTCAGGAGGGCGGTCCAGACATGCTGAAGGTTCTGAGAGTGGTCCAGATAGACTGAAGGCCTGGGAAGGCGGTCCAGTCATGCTGAAGACTCTGTATATGTTAGTGGATCGGTGGAGTAGAGTTTAGCTAAGTGGCACTTATAAGTACGGTTATGGTTGTGGAGTAGACTTCCTGGAAGGGAAAGGTATGTAACTCCGGAAGGAGTGTGGGTCCCCTGAGAGGGAAGCAGCAGAGTAAATGGATGATCGGAAGTGTTTGGTAACAAGCACTAGGATTGTACCAGATATATGGAAGCACATGCGGGATGGATGCCCGTTGAGGTTGTGGCAATGTTGGATGATGCACAGGCATGTTTTCGGTCTCCGTGGAAGAGGAGAAGGAAAGGGATTCCCGATTGGAGATTGGGACAGAGAAAAGTGAGACAGCAGGTTAACAGACTCGGGAGTAGTCTGGACCGGTGCTGAGGACGGTATAAGGATATTACAGTCGGAGGTCAAGGACCTGGAGATCGTGATAGGGAAAGGTGAGTGGGTTGCACTCCGTTGTATCGAACCGAAGGGTTCAAGGGTGACACAAGGACAGGGTCCTTGGTTCCGAGTATAGTTGTGGTCATGAGCTCTGGATGTAGTGGTGTTTCATCCTAGGGATGGTTGGGCCATCGTAGGCGTGCCTGGTTTTCCGGCCGAGGCTGTTTGGGCCAGGTACGATGTGTAGGAGCATTATAGCTGGGTGTTCAGGGGGGTTGCTCGGAAGCTGTGAATTGTTTCATCATATCAGCACGGTACGAGATTTGATCCAGGGAGGAAACGGGATGAGTTTACGTCGGTGCAAGTTGATAAAGGTAGCGCCAGTTGGGCAAAAGATAGTGAGCTTGGTACCGGGTCAGAACCCGGTGGTCCAGGGAGACATCTAGTTTGTAAGGGACAAGTGATTATGTGATTTGGAATGATGGAAGTATCGTCAGATGATCATTGGTTGACAAGTGTTGCTATCAGAGAAAGAAGCCGGTGGCCGGCTTGAAGCGGTTGTCGTGGCTCTGTGAGGAAAGAGTTGGACTTTTAGGGGTTTAATAGCGGTGTTTGGAGGAACCTGGGTCGGTTGATACCAGGGATGCGTTGTGGAAGTACTATCTGGAATTGTGTGCTGCAGCAGGCTTCGAGGACGAAGCCTAATTTAAGTGGGGGAGAATTGTAACATCCCAAGTCAGAATCAAGAGTTCAGGGGGTAAAGTGTAAAGTTGGAAAAGAAGGACTCGGCGAGTAGGAGCTTCAACTCGCCGAGTCGGAGCGTATGCGGTGCACCAGTTAAGTGACCGGACTCGCCGAGTCGGCGTCTGGACTCGACGAGTCCGTGCTGGAATGTGAAACCCTAAGATTCGGGGTTGTGCACCCTATTTAAAGGACCTTATGTCCTCCCCTCAGCCCCTTATTTCCTCTAAGAGTCTGTAAACCCTAAATGGTGTGTGTGAGCCTCCATTGTTAGAGTTTTGAGCTTGGAAGAAGAGTTTAAGAGGAGGAAGCTAGAAGATCAAGAGGCTAGCATTGGGAAATCATTGTAGATCCGGGATCTACTCCTTCTTGGGCACGTTTCTGAGGTAACAAGTCGTCACCTTGAGTTTTCCTCTTCTAGATCCATTGTTGGTTGTTAATTTGGGGTTTTTAGCTTGTTTGGAATCCATTTCGGGTTTAGAGGCCAGATCTGAGGTTGCAACTTCAGATCTAGGTTAGTAGTGAGCCATGGAAGCATAAAGCATCAGCCTTGGGGCTTGATGGAGAGTATCTTTGTCCCAAAACCCTCTTATAGCTTGGTTGGAGCTTGTTGAGCCTTGCATGCACGTAAAGTTGGAAACTTTACGTGTGAATCTGGCCCTAGGAGTCCAGATCTATGTATTGGAAGCAAGGAAATGGCCTGAAATCGTCTGAATAAAGATGTCATGTTTGGACTCGGCGAGTCACATGGGTGTACTCGACGAGTTGTATGAATTTGTGCATGAACTCGGCGAGTTGAAGAACAACTTGGCGAGTCTGTTGAAGATTGCCTTGGACTCGGCGAGTCTGTTCTTGGACTCGGCGAGTCTGGTCGTGGAACCCTAACTTTTCTGGTTAAGTCGTGAATCGGTGAGTCGAGGGATGACTCGGTGAGTTGGACAGAAGGGGACTCAGTGATCGTTGAACTCGACGAGTCATGGGGCGACTCGGCGAGTCGAGTCATGTTATGGGAGTTTCTGGGTGTAGGGACTCGACGAGTCGACGGGTCGACTCGGCGAGTAGAGTCAGTCAGGGAGGTTGACTTTGACTTAGGAATTTGACTTTGACTGAGGAATTTGACTTTGACCAAGAGTTGACCAGTTTGTTTACCAAGGGTATTTTGGTAATATTGGTGCTTATGAATCTGGTTCTTGATAGTGTACGGTGGTGGAGTTCGTGTCGGTGATCGGAGCAGCTGATCTTATCCTTTCAGTCGGCAATTGCGAGGTGAGTTATCCTCACTATATCGACAGGGTCTACGGCACCAAGGCCGGCCCTTTATCGGATGGAAATCCGGGTAGTTGTTGTTATGTTATTGCTTTGCTATGTTTGCATCCTGGTAGTTAGGATGGTATGTGTTAGAGACCTGGTCAAGGTCGGTACCCGGGATATAGGGTAATGTTATGCTAGTGACCGGTTAGGTCGGAATCCTGGTTAGGATATTGATATGCTATGTGATCTGTTAGACTGTTTGTCTGGTTGAGGATTGTATATGATTATATGTTTATGTGCACATGGTTGTTGGACTGGGGTTGGGTTGAGGCGGGTCCTGCTTTGTGCTGTAGGCCAACATACCCAGGGCGGACCGGATGTTCCGAAGGCCCAGCAAGCGGTCCGGATAGGCTGAAGGCCCCAAGAGGGCGGACCAGAAGTGTCGAGGCTCGGAGAGTGGACCAGGCCGACTGAAGGCCCGGTGCGGGCGGACCAGTCATACTGTAGACTCAGAGAGTGGACCAGGTGGATTGAAGGCCCGGTGCGGGCGGACCAATCACACTGTAGACTCGATGTACATGGCTAGACTCGGAGGGTGGACCAGGTGGACTGAAGGCCCGATGCGGGCGGACCAGTCACACAGTAGACCCGATGTGCGTGGTTGTTCTATTAGTGATATGTTATGAGTATGTTTATGTGTGGTTGGTATTTTGGGGGTAACTCACTAAGCTTTCGGGCTTACAGTTTCAGTGTATTGTTTCAGGTACTTCAGGAGATCGTGGCAAGGCGAAGGCGTGATCGTACCGCTCCTCATGTTTTATGATTTATGTGATATAGTTCTGGGGATACTCTGATGTTTAAACTATTTTGAAAACAAGATGTATGAACTTAATGGTTTTTGAATGAATTAAAATGTTTGAATTTGGCTCAATTTTTGTGGGCGTTACAATCTTTGTGGTTGAAGCAATGTTAAGGTCGAGAACATGTTTCGAAAGGGTCAACCAACCCATCAGTTTATGATCATGAACCGTATCAAAATAGCTAATTTTTCACATAACGAAGACATGTTTGGAAACTCTGCCAAGTTCTATAACCTAATAACACGAATTCAAGAATCACTTGGGTTGTATCGGTTTGGTTTTGGTCACATGCAAACTTGACTGCAATGGAATGAAAAGTTAGGGACATCTGATGCAACAAATGGAACATTTGGATTATATCCAAAACTTTTGATGATGGACGGGACCATTTTTGTAATTAATCTTAGAAATTTATATAGTCGCTTGATCTTATATTTTATCTTAATAATTAGTTTTCTATAGCACCTTTTTATTTTTTAAAGGCAATATATATATATATATATATATATATATAATATATATATATATATATATATATATATATATATATATATATATATATATATAGAGAGAGAGAGAGAGGGAGAGAGGAATGATCATTTGAGAACTTATAGTTTCCCGAGAACCTGAGAACTAAAAGTGGACTGTCAGATTAAAAAAATTAAAGGCTAAGATCTTTTATGACATTTTTGTAAATAACCAGAAAGAAAAACAATGGAGGGTATCTTCATAAAAAAAAATAAAGGCATTTTAGGGCTTTAGAAATTAGCCTCAAATGAACATTTCAGATCCTAATTTCTCTTTCTATCGCTCATGCTCTTCTCCCGTTTCTTCACCGACTCCATTGACCTCTTCCCAGATTCCAACGAGCACCTCCCTCCGCCCTCCGCCTCCGACGCCCACCTTTACCTTCGTCAACGACCGCCACAGTCTAGGATTCATTGTTGTTGACAATCAAAGATCCACGATCATCTCGACTCCATTGAAGATGCGATCTCTTCTTCCTCATCCATACATCTGTAGAAGACCACTAACCTACCGATTCAGAAAATAAATCAAAGTCCACATCACCGCTGTCTGTTCTCTCGTCTCCGGTCGATTTGGAATCAACATCTCCTACGCCTCGACGATTCATATAGGGATCGCAGATGCATAAAAATCGATTCATCCGTGGATCGCCTCCTCGCTCACGACAAATCCATGAACCAATAATCGACTCCATTCCACAGATCAACAAATCTAATCGATGTCTGAGTACGTATTCACTTCTTTTCCATCTAATCAATTTCATAGTTTCAGTCGTAGTTTTTAGGTTTGATATGTGTTGTATATACCAATAATTATGAGAAGGAACTCCTGTTGCATTTATCATTGTTAATGAAGATATGTTTATATAGAGAATCATTCGGATCCATGTACAAGGCCCCCACTACGAGAGATGCGTAAACATGCTGTCGAAAGAAGCCAATGCCAATTGGTTGATCTTACCCTTGTGGATTTTGCTAATCATGAGCTTCTTTTGTATATTGCTGATAGGTAAGTGAGCTTATTATATCGTTCATTTGTGTTGATAGGTATGTGAGCTTATTGTTTTTATTCCTTTAACAGATCAAGTCAGCTTAGACGTCTTGATATCATCTATTGCTTTTTAATTCTGGTAAGTTTTTACCAATAGCAATGGCCAACCTTATTTCTCTATCTTCCAGGGAAAATTGGAGGATGCAGAGAGGTTGTTTGTGGGTGCATTGCAAGAAGCTAAAGAAGGTTTTGGGGAAAGGGATCCTCATGTTGCTTCTGCATGTAACAACCTGGTGGGTCCCTTTTTTACATTTGACTAGTTAATAGCAATATGTAAACAAGAAACTCATAAATATTTTACAAGTTTCAGGTTTATATACTGCTGTTATGGGTAAAGAAATGTAAAAAACATTGATATTATGGACAAAAGATAAAGTACATAGCCTATATGATTGCAGGCTGAGTTGTATAGAGTTAAAAAGGCATTTGATAAAGCTGAACCATTGTACTTGAATGCCATTAGTATTCTTGAGGTTGCTACTTTAAACAATTAGCGACATGGCATGCAAGTGAATCTACTTCTCAAACGCAAGGTAATCCATTTTTTCTTTAATTTTTTTTTATAAATTATAAATTTATAATCATTGATAATTATGATTTTACTAATAATAATCTCTCAAAAAATAAGGTCAACTTTTCATTTTCCATTATAGTAAGGTGACTTTGGCCTCTTTGATTCTTGATACTTTTTAACCTATTATTGAGCTTGTATAACTTTTCAGGGACATATAAAAGCCTTTCCAATCCAAAATTCTACCACTTTTATCCTTGTGTTCAACCAGTAAATAATAATTCACAATCTACATATACATTTTCTTAACAACAACCTGAACATGACTGTAAGTGTGTAGTGATTCACATGTAAATCACAAGTGATTCACATGTAAATTACATGTGATTCACATGTAATTCACATGTGAATCACATATGAATTACATGTAAATCACATGTAATTCACATATGAATCACATGTGATTCACATGTAATTCACAATTATACGTGATTCACATGTAAATCACATGTATTTCACATATGAATAAGATGTAATTCACATGTAAATCACAAGCTGGTCATATATGAATTACATATGATTCACATGTGAATTACAATTACACATGATTCACATGTAATTCACATATGAATCATATGTAAATCACAATTACATGTGATTCACATGTGATTAACATGCAAATCATAATTACATGTGATTCACATGTAATTCACATATGAATAAGATGTAATTCACATATGTATTTTTGTGAGTGTTCTTGTATTAATCATTTTTTTGAAATTTTCATGTAGATTTGGAAGAATTTGTAGAAAATATTGAAGATGTGAAAAAATAGAAAATATTCACATGTAATTCACATTTGAATAATATGAAATTTTCACATATAAAATCACATGTAAATCACAAGTGAATCCCATATGAGTTACATATGAATCACAAGTGATTCACATATGAATTTCATGTGATTCACATATAGATCACAAGTGAATCACATAAGAATTACATGTAATTCACATGTGATTCATATGTAAATCACATGTAATTCACATATGAATCACATGTGAATCTTACATGATATATACAAGTGTATTTTTGTGACTGTTCTTGCACTAATCAAAATTTTTTAATTTTCTTGTAGATTTTGAAGAATTTATGGAAAATATTGAAGAAGTGAAAAGTGATAAATTGAAGAAAATATGGAAATTTTGACACGAAGAAGTTAAAACTCTTTGAAATTTTGTAGCATTTTTTGTTTTTTATATTTTATTTTGTAGCAAACAAAATACTTGTACTATTGTGTTTATAGATTTGTAAATAAAAATGAGTTTTTTTTATGATTTACTTATGAATATTATAGTATAAAAAATATGAATATATGCATTTGAAAAAATATGCATATATGCACCTAACTTTTTTTTTTTTAAATGCAGTTTTTTTAATGAAAAAAATGTAACTTTCTTTAAAAAACTTGCAGTTTTTTCAAAAAAATTGCAGTTTTTTTGAAAAAAAAAATACTGTTTTTTTTAGAAAAAAATTGCAGTTTTTTTGAAAAAAAAATACAGTTTTTTTTAGAAAAAAAAATGCAGTTTTTTTTTAAATTGCAGTTTTTTTTTTAAAAATATTTTTTTCATTTTTTTTGCAAAAATATATGTTTTCTATAAAAAGTTAAAAAAATTGCATTTCAAAAAAAAAACAAAAAATACTATTTTTAGAAAAATCTGAAAATTTGATTTATGATGTAAATTTTTAGACATATTAATATATTAAATAACACAAAAAAATTAAATATTAAATGAGATTGGTAAGATGACGATCATGTTCTTAACGAATTACTTTTGATCCAACGCTCCACTTTTAGTTCTCGGGTTCTCAGGAAACTTTGAGTTCTCAACCGATCTCAACCCTCTATATATATATATATATATATATATATATATATATATATATATATATATATATATATATATATATATATATATATATATATCCTTAATTTGTTGGGAGAATTCTCTGTGGTTCACTTTATTGGGAGTATGAGTGTTTTTTTAGAAGTGTGAAAATCCAGAAACAATATGCGTGGTGTAAAATGAAAACAAAAAGACATTAACATTACACATTTTAATCCATGTTCCTCCCCGGTGTTATATTGAGAAAGTGCATGGGCCATGGAGGAAAAGGTTGTTCAAAATGTATTGGATTTAATAAGTAAACACAAATTTGTTCAAGAGACAATCCATATTCCTTCCATACAAATGAAACTCCCCCTTCCTATCTTGTACCAATTTGTAAGAATATATATATTTTTTTTACTCTTCATCACTGTCATAAACAAGCGCCTTTCTACGATGAGAAGCAGAAGCAGAAGCCTTTCTTGGGGGAGACTCCTCGTCTGATTCTATCTCCTGCCGCGAAGCCTTGTTGTGCTTCAACTCCTGAAATTATTTGATGATTAACATGAACATAACATAACAAAATCAAAAGATTCTTGTCTTCATATCATTGAACATCATAGCCTTCCCTATAAAGCTTTACAGGGCTATGTAGGATGATATGACAAGGGGCAGGCGGGATAAGATGATACAAGTTTAAAAAAAAGAAAAAAAAATACCCTCTCTTCATCTGAAGCATCGTCCGCCAAGGGCTCCTCATACTCATCCTCATCATCATCATCATCATAATGGTCTCTACGTGTCTCAGTCTCATCTTCCTCACCTTCAGTTTCATATTCGGACTCCTCCCGTTCACTTTCATAATCATCAGCTGGACCACGTCTAGATGACTTCATGTTCATGCCTTGCAACGATTTGCGGGGGGTATCTTTGTGCCCTCCTCCTTGAGACTATTTTTTTTTTTTTTTTTGTAAAAAGAAAAAAAGACAAAATATGTTTATATTAGAAAAAGGTATGAAAAGAGAAGATAATTCTTTCGAAGTTGAAGAAGCTATATATACTTTTTTAGCATTAATAATACGCTTTTCAGCACGAGCTTCCATTTCCAGGTCCTCCTCAAAGCGGCGCCGACGCCGAGAATCATAGTAATCTTGTTCATCGTCCTGATGCAACAAATCATAATCTATTCATTTCTTTCCATTACAACGTTATACTTCCACTTTTTTTTTTAAATATATCAAGCTATTTACTTTACAAAATCTACCAAATCATTCATTATTATTATTATTATTATTATAGTGTCAGTGAGAGTGAGAATTGGTTTGGACAGGAGGAGATTTTATACCTCCTCAAGTGCGTCCTCCAGGAAACCAGGTGAAAGTTGGCGCTCCCTACGCACAGTTGGTGTGTACTTGCGGTTAACCTTTTCCTTCTTTCTACTCAGAAGTTCGTTGGCCCTAATACTTTGACTTTCAGCCTATACAAAAACAAAGAATCAACTTAATTAACGAATCATCAAAATTCCTAAATAATTAGTAGAGTATTATATTATATAATAACCTTCTCTTTTTGCTCCTTCTCCCTCTCGGGATCAATGTCGGTGACAGTTTTTTTCACCCTAAACACCTTTTTATGACGCGAATCAACAAGTGCAGTTAATAATCTATGAGAGTTAGAAGTCAAGGATGAAGGCATAAATCTCATCTTCTTTAACACCCTCCCCTGCGACTGAAGTATTCCCTACCAAAACAATCACGAAATTCATGCTGTTAACATAATAAATGTAAATTGTATTTACATGAAAATAAAAAGTAAACCAAACCTTTTCATGTCTAAGGAAAAGATGAGCTTGATCATGTTGCGCATCCTGCACTGAAATATCAAGAACTTCATTCCCAATAAGCAACTGTAAGCTGCCATCTGACCATCTCACAAACCGTGCATTGCTTTCATACTACATTCAAAAATAGGATACAAATTCTTTAACAACCTGCATACATACATACATACATACATACGAGTTTGCTACTTTAATTATTATCAAAATAAAATCAATGACTTACAGAGGTTGTTCCATTAGCATTCCTAACAGCCCTGTAGCGAACAATATTATTCTCCAAACGAATACGTTTGTTATTTCCAGATTCATCAGCAACAAATGCATCTTCTTCAACAAAGGTCTTTGGATCAAATGGTTTCGGATCAATTCCCATAATATTCGAGACTTTAATCATATTCATCTGCAACCAAGACAAAAAAGAGGATGTAATTTAGATATAGTACGCAAATAATAGCTTTCAAATTTATGTCTAAAATAGCAATGTACTCTCATTTATTTCTGTATTACAGCCTCCTGCTTTTGTTTCTTTGTATTGCATGCAACTTTTTCCTTATTAAACCATTAAACACCAAAAAAGCTATCCAATTTTAGCAATAAAAACTGCTATGTATTTAGAGGACACGCTACTCTAATTAGGAAGATTTTTCAAATAACAAAACTATAACAAATCAATATTATTTGCTATTTCCCTATAATTTAATTACTAACATCTTGTATAAAAGACAGCATATAAATAGGCATCACACCAGTTCACAACCGTAACAGCAAATCACATGCCTTTGTCGGAATTTAACAAAAAATAGCAATGTACTTTCAATTATTTGTGTATTATACCATCCTACTTTCTTTTCCTTCAATTACAGCATTGTACTTGCAAAAAAATTCTTATAAAGTCGTTGTACTTTGAAAAATGTACCCAATTATAGCATTTTACTTCTAATTATGACATTACACAATGGAAAAATTATATCAATATAAATTGCTTTGTATTTGGATCATATTGCTACAATTGGGTAGCATTTTCAAAGTATAATGCTGTAATAGGAAAAAAAATAAAGTAAGATGCTATGATAAACAAATCAATGTAACAACATTGCTATTTCTTGGATTTAAATACACATCACGGAAGTTCACAATTATAACAGCAAATCAAAATTTACTAAAGTAACCTTTTCAGGATGTGAGGGAGGAGGTCGCAAAGGTATCCCTAGCTCCATAGGGGGTCCCACTGGTTTCTCCTTAGCTTTAATAATATGATCCTCTTCAGAATCATAACGACCCTCTTCATCAGCTAACATGTCCTCTGGTCTCAGATCTTTCTCATAACCTTCATCCTCTTCCATAGGGGATCTCTGTGGAATAAAAAACACATTAACTTACCATCATAATAAATAAATAAAGGAATAAATATTTTTTTTAAAACAGATACTAACATTGGCATCCTCCTCAAGATGAGTCTGAACAGCATCGTATTCTGCTGGCTCTTCATCATCATCTGATTCCCCAAATACATCACGAATCTCTGGTGCTGTCTGTGATATGTGACCTTCATCTTTCTCTTCTTCAGGTGACCTACTGCCAAATTTACAATGCATAAGTAGACGCCTCTTTCACAAAGGAGCTGTTTCTTTTTACTTAATTAACCACTTAATCTAGACAGCTATATATGGTTGTTTCTATCTGACTTAATCTGGACATAATGACTTAATGGGTTAAGCCAGAAAACATGACTTAACCCATTAAGTCACCAATACGTTACCTATTTGCCCTTCTTTTTTCCTCCCAACTCTCTGATAAAGATTGTCAAAATTGGTAGTTGGAATGTAAGAGTAAAACGATCATTCAGTCCAAAAAAGGAAACAAATTTTAAGTATACAAATCTTTATGACAGACATCATTACCCATACACATATTTAGATATGTGTGATACCTTGGACTTCTGGGTTGATCAACATCTTCATCTGCATTATCCATATATTGATTCTCTTCTGATCTTTCTGACTCACTTTCCACAACTTCTCGCCTCCTACTTGTCACAACTTTTTGACCAAGTTGATCACTTCCTGATTCTTTTCCTTCACTTTCTTCTCTTTGATCTCCCAAATCTACTTCTTGAGAGCTTTGGTCTCTCTCACCTTCACTCTCTATTTGTTCTTGATCCATCTCCTGTAATTCTTCACCATCACTATCACTGCCCACCTCCGCTTCCCCTTGACCTTCTACCACATCTTCACCTTCAGGCTTCAACCCCATGTCCCCTTCATCCTAAACATTAATTAAAAGCATCAGTAAGATAAAAAGAACACTTCCTCACTTTTTACCTTTCAGATTATGCAATATATCTATAAGATAGCAGTACGCATAAATAGAAGTTCTTGACAACTCAATCCTTATAAAGCCTTTACAAGATTTGCATACACTCACTCTGATTTGCAGATCTTATATTCCAAATTTATGCCTATTGATGACAGCAAAGCATGAGGTTTATTGAAGCGGTATTTGATTACATCAAAACATGAATTTTGCGTCACTAACCATAAGCATGCTACACGTGTGCAGAAACCAACAAAAAAATATTTTTACTATATTAAAAATACAATACTTTATAATAAATGC